CCAACTTGAAACCTCAAGCCGCCCGAGCCGAAAAATATGGGTTTCCTCGTGGGCCCCCGGCGAAGAAGACCTGCTTGAAGAGCACGCCTCGCGCTTTGCACAGCGAGGCCAGGCGGTGGAGCACGTGCAAAAACCGCTCCTCGCGGTTCGCGGGGTTCGCGAGTTTCGGTGGCCAGAACCGGGCAGGGGCGGGGGGGAAGGGCGAAGTTGGTTTCGTTGGTGTTTGGGCGAATCCCAGGGCAAGGTAGGGGTTGGTGGGGGAAAAGGGTTTAGGGGAGGGATGTGAGGGCGTGGAACCTCTCCTCTTGCGATATTGGTTTCGTTGGGCGTTGCACGAAAAGGGGCGGGGGGGGTACTGGGGAGGGAGGTGACTCCACTAAGTTTGTTTGATGGGTTTGTTGGCGATACACTGACCAGAGAAAAAGACGGGGGGTAAAGTAAGCCCCACTAAAGTCATCTTTTTGGGGGCCTCAGGGAGAACTAGAGGGAACAAGGAGGAAACCATAAAATTAGATTGTAGGCGTCCCCGAATCAGACTGGGTGTTTGCTACTATCCAAACCAAATAATGGGGCGGGTTTGGGCATTGGCAGTGGAAAACAGACATGTTGTGTCTTAAACTCACCCAACGACGGGGCGCTTTGCTTATTCGAAAAAAAACGGCTGCAACCCAAAGTTATCAAAGGGGACCACACCTCCTTTCAAGTGCCCCAGGCCACCCCCAAGTGGCATGAAGGGGAACACCTCAGTTACTGACTTCGATGAAACCCGCAACAATCAACAAATCATTGCCCCTGGTGTGAAGCAAAACACGCTAGCTCCAGCCGTACCCATTTCTTCAGTTCAGGGATCTTTGCCTCCAAAGACCCAAAGGCAGACCATCTGCACATGTTATAATATTGTCCAAACCCTGCAATAAGGGAACTGTGAGAGCCTAAGGAGGAGCAACATCATACACAGCTCTGTTTGTCTCCAGTCTCCAGCTCGCCACGAAAAAATGGCAGGAAGAACCATCCAATTTGGAGTCTTAGCCAAGGGAAACCATGCAATATGTTCCATCTGTTCCCTAAAAGTTCCCTTTGGACTTGTTTTGGAAAGCACGGGACATTGGGCCCCATTTGAATATAACCTGACATTGATATTTCTACCCAACTCCCATAGTAAAGAATCCAACGTGCGTCCGCACCTATTTTCGGTAGGCACTATTCTGTACACCTTCACTTGAAAGTACGTAGTAGGATTCCTGAAAGAATACAACGGATTGGGCCGAGTTCGCTCCTCTTCTTCCAGGTTGGCCGGCTTAAAGGTCATGAGCTGCGTGCTGCTCGGCGAGCAGGACTGGCGAATGGGTGCGGAAGAGTGATTCGATTGACGCAGAAGGTGGTCTGGACTTTCGGGTTTTCCTGCCCTGGCTTGGTTCAAAAAGAATTCAAAGTCATGCCGCCCCAAAATGGGGGTCTGTTCTGACACATACCCGAATCCGACCCGCAGCAAGTTTGCCTTTTCATGTGTCAAAGAGCAAAAATGGCCAATCGGTCGAAACAAGGTCAGTTAGATCTGGCCTTTGTAAACAGCTTGGCTCAAAAGCTGAGGGTCTGAACCCATAATTATATCAGCCATGCAGCATTAAGTGCTGCTTTATTGGTTGATTAAGCATTAATCAAGGCCAGTTGCAACCAGTGCAGTTCGGCCCAAGCATGAGGGTGCTAAACAAGGCAATGTTTGGTTGCGACTCTTCCTTAAGCTTCACTTTCCCGGGTTTTGATTCTGGCTCAACTTGTTTTCGGTGAACAAGGTATGGGACATGGAAGGATCCGCTGAATCTCCGCATCTGCTCACCGGATCCAATCCCCAGCTGAGTGACCAGTGACACTGGTTGACGAGTTTTTGGGCGAGCCCGCCAAGCAAATATAGGCACAAAGGGTGCCACTGAACTGGTTAGCAAAGACACGCAATATGATCTTCCATCTGCTTAGGGCGCCGCTCAAACATCTTCACTCTTTATGGTAGTCATCTGTTCCACGGTCACAAAACTCCATATGCGGGCCATGGTAATGAATGTAATGATTCCATTCATGGGAATGTTTGCATTGGTTGTCTAAATCCCCTGTACAAAAAGAGGTTGATGCCATTGGTTTGTCAATCCTTTGCTAAAAGGTTGACAGTTGAGTGTAGCTGGGGACCTCCAAGACATAAGGCAGAATTGCCACCTCCGGTTTCTTGGCCAGAGACACACAGCAAGAAGTTGACCTTTGTTGGTTGAAAGGACAAATGTAGGAAATGCGAAAGAGCAAACAAGCCCAAGCGCTGGAATGTGAAGTCTGGCAAGTTTTGACAGCCCACTCGAATCTCTCCAGGTGGGAATGGCAACCATTTCCGTGATACCAATGGAAGATCGTCCAAATGAATAGATTTCCTTCTGGAGAGGTGGAGAGGTGTTTCGGTCTCACAGAAGTGGGCGCCGACCCATTTCCACAACCCTACTGTTAGCTGGATAGCTCAACCCCCTGTGCAAAAAGTCTAACATTTTGCTCCAGCGTCGCATGGTTTGGGAAAATCAATCATCTCCCGGAAAGTTAAAGTCTAAAGGTCCAATCGAATAGCAGCCAAGTCTGAATTTCGTCGGCTTCACCATGTGGTGTTCGTCCGGGCTTCCCTCAACAAAGACCTGGCGCGAGAACGCGGAAAGCGTCACGGTCCCGCCGTGGCTCAAGTTGACAGGTCTTGGAGGAATCTCCTTTATATGGGCTGTTCGCGTTCCATGTTAATCTGCACGAAACTTTCCAGTGGTAAAATATATTTTTATTGTATTGCTTGCTTCACTTTCAGCTACCTGTGACATGCAAAATGTATCGACTCACTCTATCTCGCTTGTCATTTGCAAACCTCATGTCAAAAAAGGTCAAGGTGTCAAAACGGTCAACCATGTCAAAAAGCCCAAGAGGTCAAAAAGATCAAACGTAAACGTGTCAAAAAGGCCAAGATGATCAACCGACCCTTGGACAGGGGCTTGGCTTCTATTAGAACACTTCTTTAGGGGGCCTCTTGATTCTTCCCAAGTGGAATCAGCAGAAACTTAAACGGGTACCCCGAGAAGACCCACCCCATATCTCACCTTGAATGATTCGGGGTATTCTAGTCGGATGACTCAGAAGGTTCTGGGTCCCTGACGAAATAGATGCTGGCACAACTGACCGAACATGTTTTTTACAACTATCAAGGTTGTCCCCCAAGTGGTCGGGGCAATTCTTGTCTTGAAACTCCAACAAACCAAATAATAACCCCGTTCTGGACTTGTGGACCTTGCCTTGAAACTGGGTTCATCCACGACCTTGGGCCTTTGGATATCATGCCCCCTGTTCTTCGAGGGGTGTCTCCAGGTTGCACAGGTGAATGCTCACTGTTCACCCAGCGCGATTTTGAGACACCACTCAAAGTTCTTGGGGCTCTAAGAAATGGGTTCCTTTCAGATGCTACACACGATTGTGCTTTGGTGCAAGCTGGAGCCCGCTTGTTAGAGCCCATTTAGGGTGTGAGAATCTCCTCAATCTTTACGAATGGACAGGAAAGTGCACATGGTGTGTATCTTTTTCAGGGTATCTTCTGGGGATGGTGTAGGGAGGGAAGCCAAAGACAAACCACCTGCTTGGGGTCCCCCTATTTTGACACCTACCCGAAATAAACTCAGGCGGGCAACTTCAGACATGCAGCAGATTTTCAGAACGCAGGCTGGGACGGTGACAGCCGCTCTCTTAGCGGCCAGTCCCAGATGCTGCCATCGGGTTGGTGGCAAATTTGGTTTCAACAGTGCCCTAGGACCCAAAGGGCGTTTCTAAACTTGGTGACTTTTTTAAACACATTCGAACAAGTGGACGTTTAAACAGTGGTGGTTTCAAGTTGGTTGCCCCAACCCACTGCCCTCTTTCCGGCAGGGTGCAAGCACGCTCACAGGACTGCCGCTTTTAGCGGGAGTCTCGGTCTCGCTATCGTCTTGCGCGTCCGAGAGACGCAACTTGAGAACAGCAACTGGCCTGCTAAGTTGGTCTGGCAGGAAACAGCTTGCACTTCTTGGGCCTAGACTAAGATGAAGGACCTGGCAAGCAGTTCACCACTATCCGACACAACCCTTTTGGATGTGTTTGGGAGAAACCAATAGCAGCATCTGCCAGTTTTGCGGGCCCCAATGTTGTGCGACCATGCTAGTCAACATGGGTTGCGCTGTTCCCTGAAACTAATTTGAGTACCCCACAATGGGCGGGGAACATCAAATTCCTTCAATATGCGGTTGAACCCCTCTCCCCCCAACAAACGACGAACACATCCTTGAAAGGATCCCCTTTTTCGGTGGTCGTCGTTCGCTGGTTCGCGGGACGCAAAGAGCAAAGGAACAATTCGGTGAAGCGACTCTCAATTTTGGTGGTTGACTTTAAAGTGACACTTCCTGAAGTAAAGGAAGGGACGTGGGGGCCTGGTTCTGGGCGAATCAGAACCATTTACCAACCCCAAATAAGGGACTCCTGTGCAAGGAAACGTATGGTTTTGGTCTCGAACCAAAACGCTTTGATGAGCCCCTAATTTACCCAGACTGGCTGGTAGAGGTTGAATACGGTTTTGAGCCTGACTTTGACAGGACACCCAAACTGGTTCAGGACCATGAAGCTTGCAACTGCAACCAGTGCTAGTCTCCAAATCGGGGAATCTGCAAAAATCCTTTGGCAGCTCTTCAAAACCGCTGCAACATGAGAGCTCGCACACCCAACAAACACCAACTTATCAGGATGCCCTGAAAGAGATATCCCGAAATCATCTGTTTCATCAGGGGATCCTCTAGATCAGCTGGTCAATGCACGATTCAACATGATCAACATACACCCTTTGTCTAAGAATCATCCCTTCCCAGGTATATGATGGACAGAGGGTAACTCTCAGCTGAGTCGACTGGCCAACACAAAGAGTGACGTATCCTTCAAGCAACACACGCCCCTCGCACTCACGGCTCGGCTTACGGCAGGCGCCGCCGGGGGCTCGGGCGCGGCCCCGTGGGCTTGCTGACCACGGGGTTGACTCGGCGGGTTTCGTCAAACGGAGGCCCGGGTTCCCGTCAAAACGTCGACTGGGCTGTCCTCAGATCCCCCACTACAAGTTTTACTTTTCACGGTGTGGAAAACCACAAAACCCTAAGAGCCTAAAACCCTAAAGGGATGGCTGGGAGCCTGGTTCCCTTGCGCAAAATGGCACATTCAAGGGCTGCGACTTTTGACAATTCTGGCTGTTCCACCCCCCCCCCCTTGGCAAGCTTGTAGTACTCTTTCAGTACTCTTCTTGACATCCTAAAGGGGTGGATCCCAAGCTGTTTACCGTAATTGTGCACAAGCTTGTAGATACCGCGCGTGACCACCACTTGCAGCATGCGACCGACAGAAAACTCAGCTCATCCAACTCAACTCCCAAGCTACACCAACAATATGATTTTCAGATTCTGGCAACCTTATCTAGACAACCATACAACATCTAGCGCATTTTTCTGAGGACCCCCCATCCCACTTCCCACCGGCACTGAGGCTCCGCGCGCAAGGCGAAGGACATGGGATCGCGGGTGGTGAACTTGGGCGGAGGCATCGGCACCAAGGATGGCCTCGCATGCCAAAGGCCATGGGTGTGGCTTCGAGTCAAAAAACATGGGACCCCCCAAACTGGTTTTCGGATTTCACCTGAACCACGACAAGGGTACCCTCAAAAAGACCCGAAGCTGACAGACCCCCTTTCCAAGGGAATATTATCTTCAGAAGGGGCCCCCGCGCTTTCATGTTTGTTGGTGCGTGGCAAGCAAGATTATCCGCAAAGGTTAACCAAAGAGGTTTACGCAACAAACAAGGTAAACTCAAAAAGGTAAGCCGAATGTATCAACCCAACAAAGAGGTTAAGCCCCAAAGTCAGGGTTGGCCCAACAGGGTGAATCCCGAAAGGTTGACCCCAAAAAGGTGGACCTAGAAGCACTCCGTGATGATTCCGGAAAAGGCTCAATGGGCCCTAACGATCCTCATCCTCTGAGCATGCCCCCTCGGGTACATGGAAAAGGAGGTGCACTGCTTGTTGACTGTTTTCATGCCAACCGCCATGTCCAGGGCACTCAAAGATCCAATGCAGAACTTAAGTACGCGACCACACAAACTGCTGGACGCCTTGGCAGGTGCCAGTGCAACCCAAAACACATGTCTAGTTCGATCGGTCAATCTCGAGATTTGATGCTCTCAGGCAAGATCTTCTTTGCTTTGAATGTGTTGACCATTGAAGCCTACTGGGCTTAGCTTTGGGTTGGTCGTCGAACCACAAGTCAATAAAGCGAGGGGTGCGGGTGTGGCTCAAATTTAAACAGGAGGGGCTACGCAGGTTTTGGTCCATGTTTCCACTTACCAGGGTTCCATTTTGGTACCGGTTTTTTGAGCCACAGCCGTGCAACAGTCTGGTGATTTTGGATGATACGCCGCGTTTTTGATCAACAATGGGTGTATGAATCAACTGGTTCCCATCTCTATGGACCTCCGGTGGGTTTCATGTTCGCTAGGGGTGTCTCTCTAAATGAGGGAACCCACCAATCGGTTGGCTTGAGAGTGAATTCCACTTCAGCCTCTAAACGCAACATCCCCAAGCGGACTCTCAGGCTATATGCCAGCGACCCGACCCTCAGGAGACCAAGGCTCCGGCAGCATCGGCTTCTGACCTGCGAATCTGAGTCTAGGGTAGACCTCTCTGACCCAGCTGCAGTGCAACATGGGCATGAAGAATGTCGTTGCACCATTGTTCCTTAAACCAGTCCTTGGGTTTCCCTTAAAACGGTCGACCTCTGTATATAGTCTAATTCATGTTTCGCCTGTTGCCTGCCCAAAGAACCAGGGAAACGGTGAACCAAAAGAGCTCCTAATTTTGACAACCCCTTTGGCGTTCCCTTTATAGGGGGGCCAAAGGCACACACAGCCTTCAAAAAGCAGCACTGGCCCACGTGTTAACCACTGATCTTGAGCCCACCCCTTTTTGTCATCAGCATGCGGGAGCAGGGTTTGGCTGTTCAAACAATGTTAACAGTCGTTGATTTGGAGCATGTGGTCAGGTGATATTCTTATCTTACACTGTAGCCACTGTTGTACTCCCCTGCATTGTTATCCCTAACAATATTTTAAGCCTGTCAATTGTCTCTTTGGACCGCCACCAATACAAGCACACAACTCTGCTTATTTTACAATACTTCCAAAACCTGAAATAAGGGGCCCACGAAGTGAAGGACCTGCATAAAAGAGAGCCGGAGCGATTCGCGTGTGTGTGTGTGTGAAGCTAGGTGATATGTCGGCAAATGTGCTCTGACTTGTGAAGTACGCGTGCCCTCATGATCCTCATGATCCAAGTCCGCCTTAGCATCCTTGCAGGTTTAATTAAGTACCCTTTTGGTCCATGTTGGGTCAAGGACGCAAAAGGTTAGCCATTTTTTGCCCAGCTCCTGACAAACGAGCTTTGGGTATGTTATATTGTGCCCAATGTCTCTCTTGCACCTTTCACAGTGGCGTTGTTCCACTGGCGAAAGACTGAAGGATAAACGTTGACTCGCTTGGGACTCAGAGTTGACGCCGAACATTCGATTCGCTTCCCATCGCCTCCATCTTCCACCTCCGAGTCGGCTTCCTGGCAAAAGGCACACGAGACGAGAAGGACAATGTATGTGCAACTTAGCAGCCGAATAACCTTCAAACGTAACCCAATCAACCCCAACACACCCCTGGCTTGTGTATTATTCTAACGCCTAATTCTGGCTTTCTTGAAGCCAGTGTGTGACACCTACACCCTGCGAAACGTGTGCACAATATGAAGAGTCATCCGAATCCGGCTTCCCCCCCCCGAGGCCCCACAACACAACACTCCCGCACATTCCCTAAGACAAAAAAAAGCGGCCATGTGTCTTTTTAGAGGGTGATGGTTATTCTGTGTTTGTTCCTTGTGTTGGGGGAAGGGGGGCAGGACCAGGAGAGTCTTATGGATGGCCTCAGCCCATGGAAAGCCACAGACCATGGCCACTCAATCGCGCGCGCGCGCGCCTGTCTCCGAGGCACCGATGGCTTGCGAACCTTGCGGGCGGCAGGGAAACTCAGCCACTTCCATGTTCCCAGCCCCCGAAGCCGTTGACCATTTTCAGTGAAAGCCGTTGAGCCAAACAACGAGGGGCAAAGGGTGGTGCTACAGAACAACTTCGTATCCCAGAGACAAGTTGTGACGCTCCAGCTTCAAAACCCTCGATTTGGTTTGTCGGTTCATCTCATGTTGAATGGGACATGCGTTCTGCCAGAAATCCGTGTAAAGTGAACCCGGCCCCACGAAGAATCCGTTTGAAGCAATTGTACAATGAAATCCTGAGTGCCCTTTGGAGAGTTGGGCCCCGAGATTAGGACCAACCCCTACTATTTGAACCGTCTCCTTTTGGCTAGGAACTGCAGGGTCTGGCCCTTGAAGCAAAGTGTTCAAAGAACCTTTGGGGTTTTCCTTTGCAAAAGGACTATGATCCCAACTTCCCAGTGACCAAATGGGTAGGGAAATCCACCCTGACCCAAATGTGGGCATCTGAGGCGCCCACGAAGTCTGGACTCTGGTGGCCCATGCGCGGCTGCACAAAGTACCTTGGGAAGACACCTCCCGTCCGCCGCAAGGCGCCCAGTTCACTTGCCCCAGTTTAGACCCAGAAAACAAGAGGCGAACACTTTTTGGGTGGACCAAGGGGAAACTGAAAGCCCAAAAGGTGGATTCGCTGGGGGCAAGTGGGTACAGGGCTCTTGGAACTTCGAATGCAAAAGGTCAAACATGAAAGGGGGCACACGGGCACAATGCCAATACATAACTGAGGCCTGAAGCCTTTGAGGGGGGGGGGTTGGCACCCTGAATTGTAGCAGCTGCGGGAGGATATCTGGCAAATCAATTCCCTTCAAAGGGGCCCTGTCAGGTATACCCTACGGTCATCATCTGCGCATTCCGTAGGCCCAACTCTGGCAAATGGTTTCTGCTGCAAAAAGGGCAGCGTCCACTTTAAAAGAGCCCGCTACTCCAAATACCCCCCCTTTTTGGCTGTGATGTCAAACCAATTTCTTGTGCCCGGTTCGACGGGGAGCACCCTCGGACTCCCTCAAGGATTTCCGCGGGCGGTCCAATTTAGTTTCAACCAGACAAGGTCCAACAGACCCAGGAAGATCCGTGGGTCAGGATTTCACAGAGACACGTTGACTACTTGTTGTTGCCGTTATCGCTTTGGCTTGCGATCGAAGTCAGTCTCTGTAGCCCACCCAGAGCCTCCCTTGCACACAAGCCAAACCCTTCCGCCAGCAGGGCGCGGGTCCAAGTCCAGGGTTACCGCCGTCGGCTGCCCGCCTTGCGGATGCTGAATAAAACAAGTGGCCCGGTTTGCCAGGGTTCTGACCCTGGAAACCCTTGCAGGAGTTGGCCTGCAAATAACTTATATGTTAATTTTCTCGGCTCTGCCAGTTTGGGGTAGCACATGTTCAAGCGCTCCATGCCGCTCAACCTAATCCGAAACATTCCGAAACACTGACCGCAACTTGCCATCCACGTGTTTCAAGAGCTTGATGCGCTCTGCGAAGGTGCGGCTGCTGGGTGCACACATAAATGCACTGTCAGCTCACGCAGTGCTCACGCAGTGCCTGCGCACGTGTGTGGGTGGTGTGGGTGATGTCGGTGGTGTGGGTGCTCTGTGTGTTTGTGTGTGTGTGTGTGGTGTCAGTGTGTGGTGTGTGGTGTGTGGTGTGGTGTGTGGTGTGTGGTGTGTGTGTGTGTGCGTGTGCCATGTGTCGTGTGATATGTGTCTGTCTGTCTGTCTGTCTGTCTGTCTGTCTGTCTGTCTGTCTGTCTGTCTGTCTGTCTGTCTGTCTGTCTGTCTGTCTGTCTGTCTGTCTGTCTGTCTGTCTGTCTCTCTGCCTGTCTGTCTGTCTGTCTGTCTGTCCGTCAGTCAGTCAGTCAGTCAGTCAGTCAGTCAGTCAGTCAGTCAGTCAGTCAGTCAGTCAGTCAGTCAGTCAGTCCGTCTGTGTGTGTGTGTGTGTCTGTGTCTTTGTCTGTGTCTGGGTCTGTGTGCGTGTCTGTGCTTCTGCGTGCGCGGGTGCGTGTGTGTGCGTGCGTGTGCGTGCGTGTGCGGGTGCGGGCGCGCGTGCGGGTTTCGGGCTGGGGCGTGTGCGCGCGTGCCTGCGTGAGTGGGTGGGTGGGTGGGGTGAAGTGGTGTGGTGTGGTGTGGGGTGGGGTGGGGTGGGGTTGGGTGCGGTGCGGTGGGGTGGGTGTGGGGGTGTGGGGGTGGGGTGGGTGGGTGGGTGGGGTGCGGTGGGGTGGGTGTGGGGGTGTGGGGGTGGGGTGGGTGGGTGGGTGGGGCGGGTGGGTGGGGCGGGCGGGTGGGTGTACCTCCGAGGCAAACTCAAAGGCAACCGAGCGAAAAGAGAGGTTTGGTTCTTGATTCTGCAAACGTTAAACAGCGGCTTACATAACCTATAATATACATTATGTATATATATATACATATGTATGTATTTCAAGGCTGTATACCCTGCTTTTCGCTTTGTAGGCGGCTTCGGCCGGCTCGGCCGGCAAGGCCTTCCAGCGGGATCCGCGCAGTGGCAGGCCTCAAAACGAAGGAAGGATTTCCAGTGATCTTGGCAAAACAGGACACCCTGTGACCATGTTCAGCCATCAAACAAAAAGAACAAATGAAGCCACTCAACCGCTGGGGCAGACATTGCGTTGAATTTCAGGGATCTCTGTTTGGGGGGACCCTGTTTGGGTTCCACGTTAATTTGCAGGGAACCCCGCTTGTTTCTTGTTCAAAGGGCCACGTGCGGTTGGTTGATCTTGCGCCTCACCGACCCGGTGTGAATAGTATGCAATCTATCTACCAAACACATGTACATTGCGGGCCTATATCCAAATATGAACCCCAGAACGGGTGGTTGCCCGTTGGCTTGCCCTTTTCAACAAGCCCGAAACGGGTGCTCTCAAACAAACACAAACAAACACCCATATTATGAAATGCAAGGGTGGGTTCCAGCTCAACAGGGTTACCGTGATGAACATCTGCAAGTGCATTCAGGGAAAACTGTCATTGATCCCCAAACTCCAATTCGCCTTCGAACAAGCCACATCCAACTAGTGAGCGGCTGCAATTCCAGTTGCATTGAACAGGGAAACGGCCCCCAAAGCCCCAAAGTTAGGGAGGAACCTGAGGTTCTTAGAAGGGCTCTGAGCTGGAGTTCTCAGTGGACCTCTCGCAACACGTTGCACGTAAGTCAAAGGTGTACATGCTCAATGATTGCCCTAACAAGGGCAAGGGTACCACTAGGCAACTGGGACTATGGCTTGCGGAACAGTACATCGAACAGCAGGCTTCAAATCAACTCAATGTCCAGGCCGGTGGCAATGTCAAAGCTCATTTGAATTCCCAACACCCGTTGATGTCTGGTTCTACTAATTACTTAAGATAGACACAAAGGTTCATATAGGGGCTTAGCTATAAGCCGGATTAAACCGATTAATTTGCCCAAAAAGATTAATTGGCAATTGAGAGATGGTTCTATACTAATGATGGGAACCCGGGACTAAGAAATTAATACATGCCTCGCTGATTTTGTTCTGGGTGTCCGCTGTTTCTGGGGCGTCGTCGCTCTTGGAGGGGCTCCAACCCAAACTGGGACTCGGTTCTACGACCTCCGCAGCCAACGGGGCTGGAAGCGCTTGGGGGCTCCGGCGCTGCCGGGCCGTACCCGTCCAACTGCTCGCAGGGCATCCGCACCGACAGCCTCCAGCCCGCGTCGCGTGTCATGCGTGCGCTCGACGCGGGGCTCCGTGGAGCTCCCAAGGCCGAAAGTGGCGAACAACTCCACTGCGCCAAGGTCCGAGCAAAAGGCACTTGGCTTAGTGGAAGAGCCATTTGTTTCCAAAAGATCTACGCGGCTAAGGTCACACCAAAGAGCGGCCAGGAAAAGCAGCACTGCCCAAGTTTCTTTTCGTTTGGTGACTACTCAAGGGAAGCCTCTTTCAGAGACAACAAGGGCACCACCCGGGTCGGGTCCCAAAAGCGCCAACGTGCGTGGGCGAGGGCGCTCGGGCGATTCCTCTTTTTCCCGTGGAGGAAGTGTACGATTTTGACAATTTTCCGTTTAGATTGACTTGGAAACCCGATAGCTTGGTGTTGCTTCGGAATTCATCCCGAAGCCTTTGCACCAAAATTGAAGGATCCTTTCTAAAATGGGAACCCTGATGAATATCACATAGAAGTTCAAGCATGGCTCACAATCAGAGTACACAAAAAACAAAAAACATTAAACAACAACTAGACAATTACAGAATGGCAATGACGCTCAAAAAAGCTTTGACTCCAAAGAAACAACGCCTCCCCCGGGTTCCAATGGTGTCGCCCCAAAAAGGGAAGCGGCTGGACATCTGCAGATTCGCGTGACGCGAATCCCCAAAACCATCAGTCTAGTTTCATCCTCCCTGTCGGTCCGATGATTAAATCTGGGAGCAAAGCAGGGACACAAACCTGGCTGAACCGTGTTCAAGCGCCCCCATGAAAGAGACATGCTCCTCTTAGGGGTCCCTAAGCGGACCCGTGGAGGGTCCATTTTTGCGCCAAGTTGGCCGAGTAAAACCCCGAAACTTGAGCCGTCTCCGAGCCGTGCACTCCGCGGTAAGTTGGGTGCCGCCTGCCCCTGCGAGAAAGAAACTGGGCCGGGATTTGCAAAGCGCAAACCGCAAACCTGGAATCTAGGGCTCAAATAACAATCGCATGGGGTAGTGGTAAACTAGAAATGGTTTGTCCCTACTACCGGTGCTACAAAACCACCCCTCTACAGGACTTCTGTCAGAAGCTTGTTCGCAATCGAAAATCACACATCCCAATGTCACCACCAACATACGAAGCGCTGGCCTTGGACCCCCCCAAACAAGTTGCCAGCCACCGACGAGCTGGCATGGGACCATTTCAGCGGTGGTTGGCATGGGAGATCACCCTTTCTGTGATACTGTGGGTCATTCGCACGACGATTTTGTCTAAGGGGATTCCCTTGGCCTGAAAAAACCCTACACGACCATGGCGGCTGATCTGAGTTTTCAGCATCCACTTCCCGGGGGCAAGGTCCAACTCGGCTAACAAGCTCTCGCAACTGAATGCTGTCTAAAACTTTCACAGGCCTGCGGACAAAGACAGCCAAGTGAGCCAGTAAGCTGCTTGGTGCAAAGCCATTCTCTACAGGTCTTGGTCACGTAACATGATATTTGTGTCTTGGCGTCTCGAAACAATCCTTTGTTGTTTGCGCGTCATTATGTGCGGGTCAGCAGAACAGTAGAATATACCCTTCCGGACGCCTTTATCAACCTATGGGGCAAGCAAGAACACAAAATAGGCACTACAACAACCTCAAAAAATACCCTTGACTCTGCTTCATACATAGTGAGCCTTGTCTAACACCAGTTCAAAGAGGTCCCAGGAAAGGGGCTGAAACCTATCTTTGGCAAGCAAGAGATAGAAGCGATCTGAGAGAGTAACAGGGAGGTCTGTTTAACCATAAGCCCACATGATAAGCCGCTCCCTTCAATCCACTCCTTTTGAGCGGCCGTTGAAGACCCCAAATATTTCTGGGGAACACCTAACATAGAACACCCAAGAAAACAAACTAAAAAGACTCCAGGGGTGGTACAGGCTGATAAGGTTCGGTTGGGATCCCTGTAGACGGGCGGATCTCACCTTTTCGTCAGGTCCTTGTTTCTCGCTAATTGGTCTTGCAAACAACTTTTACACATTCGCACCCAGGACCTGGGTTCCCATGCCATCTGGAAAATCTGCTATCCCAGTGCCTGCAGTGTCTCGCTGGTATCCTTAGCACCGCCTCACCGCATTCCCATGTCGAACGGGGATTGTGCATCTCGGTAATAAGTTCGCTGTTTGCTGGCAAAAAGGGGAAAACGATGGAAAACCAATCGGCGAACAGGTTAAGAAAGATAAGGGAAGTCTGGCAACAGTATTTGGGTGTCTTCAATAAGGGGGGCCACAAAAACAACAAACATGTTTGTTCCTCTGGGCTTCATCTATCTTCACCCCAAAACAGGGCACGGGTCGCCTACGAGAACCCCGCCCGGGCACCTGAGGTCACAAAGGCAGCCATGAGCGTGTGCTTCTGATCTCGGCCTTGCGACTCGATCCGAGCCCCGTGTGGCCGTGTCCCTAGAAGGGCGCGCCGAGTTTTGTTGGTTGGTCGTGGGAGAACTGTCCCTTTCCCAAAAATGGAAGAGGGGTGGGATCTAGCGTAGTTTATTGAAACTGGAGTCTACCTCGCAAAGTGGCCATGACTCCCCCCTTTTGGTATCTGACTCCTTGGGTCGGAGCCTCGATGAACTTCATCCGGGTGCTCCGTGGATCCCAGCCACAGCTGGACCCCTTGTGGGTAAAACTCTAAGGGTATGCACTTGACAACCGAGTTTCAAATAGTTACACAATCGAGTTTCAATGGAAATCACCTTCCTGGATGCACTTGGTCATGAGCTTTATCCGGCTTGGAAACCTTGGATATTTGCTCATTTGCTCTTTGGTACATTGGGTGCATTTCTAAAGAAACCGGGCCGGTCTGGCGTTAAAGAAACGTCAGACGGAGCGGCCCCAGTCCCGGTCGCCTTCACTCAGCCTGCCAAAGCGTGACCAGCGAGCCTGGGCCGTTTCATTGAACCCAAGGTGAACCCAAAAACCTGGTCAGGCTAAACCCAAGAAAACAACCGGTGAACCAAAAGAAACCAAGGCGAACCAATATTTCCGCACTTGAGTGGATTCAGAAAGTTCGCGGACTTGTTTACACCGTATGATTTTTCCTAAAGTGGCTGAAAGTCCAGGAACTGGGGAAATGAACACTTCTTCAAGACTGCAACACCGGTTGGAAAAATAGGATCCAAATTGAACAGATTCAAGCTGCCCCAGTTCCTTCTTGCGGTTGCCCTTCTTGGGATTGTTTGAAAAGGGGACGGGAAACCGCGACGTGCTTGCCCATGGCCCATGGCCTTCAAGCTGAAACTCTGGCATTTGGTGGGCGAACTGTGGCAAAACAACTGGCGCCTGTTTCAGGTCCGAGTCACTGCCCATGTCCCAGTTCCCTGTACTTTTCACGGATCAATAAACTGCTTGACTGATGTGGGAAATTACAGAAACATCCTCCATGCATCCGCCAGGTCGGGTGGCCACCAAGGTGGGCCCCGATTCTTAGGGACACAAAAATTGGGTTCTGAACACAGGGTCTGGAATACCCACCTGGTGAAGTAGAAACAAACGAACAGGGACCGAAACCCATTGACTTTTGGTTCTACCAAGGTCCATTGACTTTTGGTTCTACTAGGTGGTTACAAAGATTTACATAGGCCATACTATAAACCATAGGTAGTAGAGCCTCCACTAAAATAGTTGAAGGGGGGGGGGGGTTTGGGCGCCGCTCATATGTGCTACTTAGCACCAGGAAAGCACTCCACCCGAAGGGGACAAACTCTTGCCCATTCACTTGCTCAAAAGGCGTGCTGCAGCCGCACAACCTATGTCGTGCTCAAATTCCTCAACATGCCAGCAAAATTCTAACATTTCACAATTTGCTGGGTTACTCGCCATTTGTTTCCAGTAGCTCTAAGGGGCTAAGTTCACTGGCAGCTTGTCACGCACAAATTACATATATGCACCTGGCTAAATTACAGGGGCGGGGAAACGCTGGTTTCACAAGTCGTGAATCGGCAAGCTCAAAGCAACCGGAGCCTTTGGATCCCACAAGGTGTCAAAGGCAAAACCCTGCTGTCACCCCTCCTCCCCCTCAACAGGTTGACCCTGGTTTCAATGGGAATGTGTTTTTTTTTTCTAGTTTCCTTTCAAAACACAAGCTGAGATCATCCAGTCCCCTGTAGAGTTCGTCCTAGGAAATGGAATTTCCACTCCCTGCTTGCAAGGTAGACTAAAATCGAGGGTTCTTGACTCCCTCGTACCGGGAAGCTATGGCATTTAGTCAAAGTCGGGACAATGAAACGAGACAGCCCTGGTCCCCCCTTCTTCCCTTCAAAGGTATGCTCTGTACACCACAGAGAGCAGGGGGATCCCCAAAAAACCGGCCAAGGTTCAAAACTATATGCGTTGCCTTTCTCAAGGCAAAACTGACATGTTGGCACACACCATGTTGGCATGAAACACATATAGCTATTGTCTTGGTATGACAGAAGGTGCCTATGTTCCCTTCCCACGCTTGACCTAACTCTGGGGCACAAACATCATATGTCAGTTTCTGCCTCATAGTTCGTCTACTCGCATTGTGTATAGATATGTACATATATATAATGATCATTAAACAAACAAAACCATAATAATAATAATAATAAATAATAATAATAATAATAATAATAATAATAATAATAATAATAATAATAATAATAATAATAATAATAGTAATAGTAATAGTAATAATCAGAATGATGACGGTTATAGAAATAACAAAAGAAGGAAATCAAAATAAGAGCAGCAATAATATGATTAACAATAATAACACTAGGAATTATACCAATAGCCACAATACTACCTAGGAGACAAACTTCTCCCCCCTTTGGCCCACTTGCCCCGTCTTCCTGGGGCCGAGGCCACCAGCATCGCGGAGTAGGCGGTCAAAGGCCGTAGCCCCGGCACCAGCAGATGGGTCTCGCAGGTCATCAAGCTGCACCTCGAACGAGGCGGCTGAAACCGTGGGAGTCTGCCTCCGTCACCGGGGAGTCCGGCCAGGGATACGGCTGTGTCTCTTTAAGGTTGGATCCGAAATGGATTTCGGCTGTTTCTGTTGGTTTCTCTTGAAAATCAAGCAACAAAGGCTTCCCTCCAAAAGGACAGACTCATACAAATTCAGCTTCCCTCAAAGAGTCTAATTGGCGGTTTGGAGACCGGTGGGGTTGATAAGGACACCCTCATCACCAATTTAGGGGTTGCCTGAACAATGGGTAATGTCAGAAAAAAAAGAAAAAAAATGTGTCAGTGCTTGTTTGAGGGTGCCCTTGTCGGTTGTTGAAAGGGAAACTCAACGGAAAACCCACCATTTTCAATAAATCCTCCTAGTTTAGGACCTTCATTCCAAGTAACTTGGACTTGAGTATGAAAGTGAACAATGTGAATATGGGGCCAGTATAACCACTACTTGCCCAAGGAATGTTGAAACAGCTCGAAAGGTGCTGTTGGAAGAGTGTTGAAAACCACCAAAAGGAGAACTCTAGCCTCTTTTAAACGCCAACATTGGTTTTGGTGTCCCTTCAAAGAAACCTTGAGCCCGTGTTGGTTGAATATTTGCCGGGACACTGAAGTTTGTACACTCCTCTTGCCAAACAAATCCGACCCCCTGCCAAAAAAAAAACTGTTTGTGATGGTTGAAAGGCAACATGGTGTAGACGCCAAAAGGCAAGCAAATATTAAGCCCGGCCATGTCGTGAGTTCCTAAGGCTTGCTTCCGTTTCAATTCCAGGCTGGGACGTCGCGCAACCCCTAGAAAGAATCGTTGTAGCACGACAAAAGTTGCCGGCAAAAGGGTTCGGCGCCATTTGATCCTCTTCCAAAACCCAGCCATACTCAAGGCATGTTCAAGAAGATGCGGCAAGGATATCTGTCGAGAACGGGAGTGTACAGCCAGGCAATGTGCGGAGATCAACATGGACGTCTTAGAGAGCCTTAGAGCAACACCAATAGCAAGCTAGCATCAAACCCTCAACCCTTTTTCCTAAAGCCGTTGCAGTTTGAGTCAGGGTTTTGGCGGGAAATACCAAATTGTCCTCCTACAAGCAAGCAAGCCTCCTTGCTTTCCCACCAGCCATGGGGCCATTAATCCTGGGTTTGGGTGTGTGTGGCGGGGGGGGGGGGGCAAGTTCCGGTGAGGCAGGACAAGGACCGCCCGCCCGAGGATTTGGGTCCTACTGAAAGAGGGCATTTCATGGCATTTTACTTCCTGAGTAGATTGGCTAAAGAAGTCTAGACTTTTGTTTACCACTGAAACTGTCTTCCCAAAAAGTTCAAAGTGCAGGTTCGGGTAGTGAGACGTCAGTGCTCATACATGCATTGTGCAGGGGGGAAAAGGGGCTATTGAGGGCACGCCCCCCCAAAACTAAACACTTTCAGCTTCTAGGTGGTTAGCATGTCCATTTGGGGGCATACCGGGTCCATTAAAGTGACATCATCAAAACTGCTCTCTTTCTGACAGTTTATAGGGAATCCACACTGGAAAGGCAATTTGAGAACCGCTCAAAATGCTCACTTGAAGGAACCCATGTAACTTGGTCAACGTTCAACCCTTACCCTAAGGAAAAGCACTTTTCTTTTTCACCATTGTAGTCAAGGACAACAATGTCTCTGATGCTCCACGTTGGTCAGGGTGAACCTTGGAATCATGCCCAGGCCCTTCGCTGAGATCGGCACACAGGCTCCTTGGAAGTACCGCCCACCACGCTCAGCGTGTACCTTGCATGGCGCCCGTGGATGGCCCCCGGAAAATCGTGCTTCACCGCGTCTCACTTCCGTAGATTGGCCAAAAAAGTCGGTACGTGTGCTTGCCACTACCGTGGTCTTCCAAAAATGATTCCAGTCCAGGAACTCAGGAAGTGAAATGTATATGGCTCACAAGTTCATAATATGGGTGTGTCATACTAAAGCTTGCTTGCTCCGTGCAAAAGACGGTCAAGATACCTTGAATCACACCCGCCGGTGTTTGTGGAAATTTCGTGAGTCGCCCCAGGTTCCGAACACCACATTGACTATCGACAAAACGAGGGTATGACCAAACCTCAAGCATTTTATTTTCTTTTTGGTGCCGGTCTAAAGCCCTCGCATAAATTGTCTACAACCCTTATGCTCAAAAAATCCAATCACAAGGATAGAAACTACGTTGAGGTTCGACTGGTTAGGAGTTGGGAGCCAGCGGCAGCTCTGGATAAGGCAAATCGATACACCTCGAAACCACCCCTGCTCTAATCTGCGGGAAGCCTTGGACGACTCCGAAAATAGCCCGTATATCTAGCAAGTTCCCGGGTGTTTCCCATACTGTGTGTTTGTTGGACGCATTGGACAATTCGGGTCCTTTAGTACACAATAAATCATAATAATAATAATAATAATAAAATAATAATAATAATAATAATAAAACCAGGAGCACCCAATGGCGTGTGTGTGTGTGACCCAACGGTTTGTGTGTTTCTCATCTTGAAATTTTGACGGATCCTTGAACATTGAGCAGTCATTGGGTGCTGTATATGCCCCAAAGTCACCTCTAAGTGGCAGGTTGAAGGGAAACAGCCCCAGTTGCTTTGAGAACCCAACAGCTCCAATGATCCGAGTTTGAGGGGCCAAGAAATGCTTAGGATCCCCTTGCGATCTTCGCTCGGGCGCGGCGTTTTTCGAGACCTCCGCATAGCCCATGTGCAATAAGGACACCATGTGTTTGCTTGTTGGTACTTGATCTTAAAGGCAGAAAGTGTCTGAAACAAAGGAACTCAGGGGATCCCCACTGGACAGAAATAACCTTGTGGCAAAATCGACGGCCCTGGCAAATGGAATAAACCCACCTAAACCAGTGCCAAATTTCTAGCCAAACTTACCTAACAAGGACACCTAAGTGACACCTACGTTGCGACTGGAGGTCTGGGATGTTTGTTGGTCCAGTCTGCGAGATCCGCCGAAAGCGCCGAGACGCTCGATGGGCAGCTGGGTGAAGCCTGGAAGCTGTGCCTTGGCCACCAGCGAACCCCAACGGAACTCGGATCCGGAGACGAATTCCCTTCCAACATAAAAACCAAGGGATGAAAAGGGAACCTGTTTGGGGCTGAACGTAATTGGTGCAAACCTATCCAATACCCACAGCTGAGTGGGCTTTGGAAGCTTTGCTTTTGGGGAATCCGATCCGAACTAAGGATTCGTTGAGGGTAAGCCTGGCCCAGTATTGGGGGGTTCCCCAAACTATATAACATGGAGCCAAAGGGGAACCCTCTAGAAGTGCTGGCATTTAGGGGTCATGCTGGACTGCAAACAAGTAAACAAACCTCTTTGAGGTAAATTAACTCCCTAGAGTTTCGGTTGGAATACGCTCCACAAAGGGTTCTGAGACAAACGGTGTTGATCTTAATAGAAATTGTCATCATGACGTTATATTTGAATCGATATGTTTATCTGTGAGTTCACTAAACAATGCTTCACATCTATGTATACATGGTACGTTGTCAAACAATACCATAGATGACTGCAATATGTTGTTGTATTTAAGTCGGTGTGATTTAATTTCGGATTTGTACCTACATAGCTATTATTCCATATTAAGCTAAGTATGTTTTAATATAATCCATGACTCGAGCAATTGCTGCTGCACACATTCTTCTAATACACCAATGATTGCTCCTGTTATCATGTGGTTTGTTCATCATTCTATTCAGAATCAGTAGCACGGTAATTCATAAAACTTAAGAGATTCGCATATTGATCATTCTCATTAACATAGCTAATCTAAGAATATCAGCTATACTATACCACATGAATTGGTTTCTAGTGTAATAGCAGTAACACTCAATTTGTGATGAAATGCGATGTCGGCTTTTAAATCTGTTGTGGTTTATTTCGATGACTGTGTTGCAATAGTTTTACCAATGTGTCTCTTCAGGTTGTTTCACTATTCACTATTTATTTCGCAGTCTGTCGAACACATCAATTTAATATTTCTATAACATACCAATGTACGTGTATATGCTAATATGTGGTGTTTTAGAAGCTACACAAACACTCTTCTAACACAGAACGTATATACATGTAGACTATCCATTGGACAAACATATGAGGCTACTGCATGTAATCGCGTTGAACAACATCCATTAGGTGGATGCTTAAAATCAATTGCGGCCTTTTTGCTGTCATGTTTTCCGGGGAACCCCTTTCTCCATAGGTGGTGGTTTCCAATTGATGTGCGCGCTTCTCTGATACTAATGAGGTTGATTCCCAACTTTAAAAACAGTACATGGGCCACTGAGCCACCGACTCGAGTGGTGCCAATGGGGGAGGCAATGGCCGGGGCAGGGTTGCGTTTGAGGCAAAACCCGGCTGAAGCCTGGTTTACCATTTGAGTCAACTGGCACGAAATCATGGAGGAGCCCCCTGCATAGAGGATTTATTCAACTCTTTTTGCGGCTGCCTCTATTTCAGAGCAAATGGGGGTTGTTCTACTTTCAAAAAAAGAGACATGGCACCTTTTGTGAGAAGCTTGACATACCTAAAGCAACCCCGCACTATTTGGGGGCCCTTTCATGCTTCCCATGACGCACCTGTCTCGAAGCCCCAAAACTATGGAGCACCGTACCCATCTTCTAGGGGTCTTCGGTGGCAAATGCCACTCCAGGAGTCATGAACAGGGTTGCTTAGAAGACCCTTGCACAAGGGTAAGGGACACTTGAGGAAACCAAGCCAATGTTCAACTCAACCTGGTCATCACTTTTAACGCCAGGGCAACCCGTCAGTTTTCGTTACATGACTGCATGCCTAAGAGTCATGGAGACGCCAGGTATAAGGGCCTAAATCAAAAGAATTCGGACGGTAAAACCCGCTTTTTGTCCTTCCAGGAGAATCACGTGCGATTATTTCAGCATTGACGGTTGACACATCCCAAGCCACGCTGGGCTCCCCGGCGGCCAGTGCCTGGTCTGGCTGAAAGGGCGACCAGCTGATCTCAGCTCGGTCCCCCTGGGCAGATGGGCTTGCAGATGAATCTTTAGGAACAAACTAAGGCCTCCAAATGGATGGCTCCCCTTTGGATTCCGATTCCCTTTAAGTACCAACCCCGAATCGGGCACCCTCAAAACAACGTGCTCAGGGGCATCACGGACATCACGGCTCCATTGCGGCTGAAACTCGGACGTGACAGGGAGTGTCCCAAGTCCAGACTTTACTTTGGCATCAGGTCTTTCCAAACATCAAAGGCCACTTTTTGGCCAGAGACTATATATTCCCAAACGAATGCACGCGCAACGCCATTCAAGGGCTCCAAAACCATAGAATCAGCCTGCGAACTTTTTCATAGCCCTGCCTTCTCGATGACCTTCAAACCGCCACCTGGCCGGAGATGAGACAACTAGACTGATAGATGCTGGCCATACTTAGTGAACCTCAAAACATTCATACTGAAAGAGATCGCACGGTTGAATCACAAGGTTGGAACCCCCACATGTTCAAACTCTGCTAATAAGTCACTGATGAGGGGGATCCCTTGAAATTCAATTGCAGGGGGGTCAAAAGGTGCAAAACCAATCCACCAGTTGCATGGATTGGCACCAGTGGCCAGCCACTCGAGCGCCTTGAGAAGGTACCGGCAGCGACACTGCGAAGCGCAGAGGTCTCGACGACTTGGACCTTGCACGAAAAGCTGAGCGATTCAAGTGTCTTGCGATATTCAAGATAGGGGCAA